AAAGAAAATAGTGGTAATTACAGAAAAGTGACCGACCTTCCGCCAGGCGGAAAAAAAATAAAATAAACGAGATACTCCGAAGACGAGACTCGCCAAGGCGTCATGCTGTCACCTTTTATATTTGTATATTTTGATTATTGGTATTTGGCAATGGAAACCTTACATCAGAGGATTTCACCAGTTTCTTGTGGGCGTGTCCTAAAACGTAGAAATCGTTATATTGATTTGTGTACATTACATGTACGCTACCACAATCAGTTAAAGCATTTGCAGGTAGAAAGGATGTAGAGAAGACTAGAGTTAAACATAAAACATGGGGAACCTTTCGGTGTTTTTTACTATTATCATACATTATACATTTTATTAGTACCATTATTGTTATACATTTATCATTATAAACAACCTTTGCCCCTTTCTGATTCTTTTCCCTTCCTTCTGTCATGATAAAATTTACAACTCAACGCTGATGCAAATTGAGTAAGAGTACAAAAAAAAAAAAGGAAGACAAACACAACAGCGCCACATAAAACAGGGGAACTTTCGATATTTTTGTTAGTGCATTATATAATTTATTACCAACATGATGTATCTTATCATTATCATTATTATACATTTCATTAGTATCATAATTATACATTATACATTTTGTTAATTTTTTTCTTAATACATTTAATTATTATTATCATTATGATTATTATTTTATTATTACTGATATCAACTCTTCCCCTTCATATTTCCCCCCTAATTCCTCCTTCATTATAATTATCTATCATACGTTTTATTAGTATCATTTTCATTATACATTTTGTTGTTATCATTATTAACCCACAAGCTCGCTTCTATTTCACCCTTTTAACAAAAAATATAAAATAAATAAAATAAAAAACGTTGAAATAAATTTACAGGCGGAAAGGATGGAAAAGAAAGACATGAGCGCAACAGCGCGACATAAAACAGGGGAACGTTTGGAAAACGAAACAACGAGGGGAGTCTATGCTAATTTTGCGGCTCAACGGTAAATTATTCTTCAAATAATTTAGAGGACCTTTATAACATCGAAGAGAAATGCATAACCGTATCAGCAGAGATAACCTTAACGGTTCTCCTAAAAAGAATACCTCACAGGTTTATGAAAACGCAATCCTGATTTATGGAAATCTATATTTTGGACTCTGTAGATGTGGGGGGGGGGGGGGCAGAACACTAGCAAGAGGGATGATATTGTATGTGTATTCTATTTCCATTGCCTACTTGCCTACCGGAAGGAAATAATCTGGAAACAAATACGTACGAGATATATCCATCAGATCTTGTGCATATAGGCGGTTGGTTTTAAATTATCCTCACAACACTGGCACGAAACTTTAATAACATAACACATCTGACCTTTTTTCATTATCCTGAATTTGAGTAAATGTCTCATCACTTATTTATTTACCTTTTTCATTTTACATCATATCATGCTCATTATATTATAAAATTCATTTCCGCTTTGTCTCTCTTTCTCTCTCATACCCATTTCATACGGTAGAGAGCAAGAGGCCGTGGAAAGAAGACAACAGCGCTACATAAAACATGGGAACTTTCAGCTGTTTTGTATTATTATGAATTACATTATTGTTGTTGTTCTTTTACATCATACATGTTATGTGTATCATTGACTTTATATACTTATACATTTTATCAGTACTATAAACACCTCTATTGAAGGAAATGGAGGCAGAAAGGATGTAGAAAAAGAAGATTAGAGTGCAACATAAAATAGGTGAATTTTTGCCAATCTTGTTGTATAACTGATTTTATTATTTATTAAATGTACATTTTATTAGTATTATTCCCATTATACATTTTATAATTATTATTACATATCTACAATCAAGCAAAAAAATCCGTTGAAGCTACTGGAGGCAGAGAGGATGAAGAAAAGAAGACTACACCGCAACAGCGCAACATAAAATGGAGGAACTTTCGGAAAACGAACCTGCGAAGGGAATCTGAGCTGATTTGGCAGTTGGGTTGAAAATTTGTTTATACCTGTATTTTAGACTCTGCGGATAGCGGAAAATAACAATAGCAGGTTAGAAATTATTGCTAAGATATTTTGCGTAAGACTGCATGCAAGAAATATCCATCAGATCTTGTGCGAATAGTCCGTTTCGAATCCTCCTCGCAACACTGGTTCGAATCCTTAGTGATCTCGCTTTTTATTTTACTACTTTTATAGTGTTAAATCAAACATAGTTTCATATTATATTTATGTTTCTACTTTCTATATATTTCAAAATTCAATAATTTGCTTGGAGTTCTTAAATTCCACGAAAATGGTAAAGATTCACTGGCCTGGAAAAGTATCCCCTAAATACATACAGTTTCTGTTGTGTCGTGATTAGAAAACGGTGGTAATTGCAGAAACTTGACAGCCCTTCCGCCAGGCAGAAAAAAAGTTAAGAACCGAGACACGGAGAAGACAGAGCCTCACCAGGGCGTCATGCTGTCACCTTTTATATTTATATATCTAGTTTTGTGACGGCTACGCTACATCAGCGGATATCATAGGGTTACTGTAAACGTGTACTAAAACACAAAGCGAATTTAATTCATTTGTGTACATGTACGCCACCACAATCTTAATCAAATATCAAACTTACTGTTTTAATTTTTTAGTACATGAAATTGCTGTCAAATCAGGCATTTGAATTAAAAATGTAAATGTAATGGTAATGACCCAACTACGTGTCCTAGCCACGATACTCAATTTTAAATCAATGATAAAGTTATGTCATAAATGTAATTATCATTATTATCCACCTTTCTTCCTTTTTATTTTTTTCCCCTTCCATTTGTTTTTTGTTTTTTTGTTTTTTAGACAACCAAAAGCGTCGTTGAAGCAAATGAGACAGAAAGGGGTGCAAAAAAGACAAAACAGCGCCACATAAAACATGGGAACTCGCGAAATGTTTGTGTTCTTACATTGTACATTTCATTCGTATCATGATACAATTTATGATTATCTTTACCTTTATGCCTTTCTTTAGTTTCGTTATATATCATGGATTTCATTTTTATCATTATTATTATACATTATATATTTTATTAGTACCATTATTATATTATGCATTTTATTAGTATCATTATTGTTATAAGTTTCATTTTCATTAATATCAACCTTTTCCTCTCTCTACTTTCCACTTTCCTTCTGTCATGATAGAATTTTACATTATGCATTTCAATGGAGCCATTATTATTATGATTTATATTATCATCAACCCTACTCCCTCTTTCATTTCCCCCTTCCTTTTATCGTGAACAAATTTATAGACATGAAGAAAGGATGTGGAAAAGAAGGCTAAACCGCAACAGCGTTACACAAAACGGGGAAACTTTCGGCATTTTTTATATCATTATAGTACATTATTAATTTGATCAGTATTATTATTATTTATTTATTTATTTTTTTTGTTATATATCATACATTTCATCAGTATCGCTAATTTTTAGGCTTTATTTGCAGCGATAAATACTTGAACAAAACAAGGCGTCTCACACAAGCGTCCTGTGCCCCATAGAGTTGTTTACATGTACAAGAAATAGTGTGATTATCATGGTATCGTGTTTTGAATGGCTTGCACCAAATCCCACATCACATGCTAGAATTATGGATTTAAAACTTAATTATCCTAAAAAACAATAATCTTACTGCAATTGTACTACTTTATTGACTTCATTCTACCGGGCAGTATTTAGTATGACCGCTTGCTGCATATCAAAATTTACACAAACTCGAATATATATTTCTGGCTGTGACTTCGATAGTGTTTATTCATCTATCTTGATAAATCTCAAAAACACAATGAATATTCGTTTATACAGACATGCATATACGCAGAAATATGTTTCTATCTCTCTGAGATATATACCTATATCTATCTGTCTGCACGATAGATATGCAGGTCTCTACTGATATGCATTTATTTGTGTATATGCATGTCCATATAATGATTGTTCACTGGGTCAAGCCTCACGCAACAGCGCCACATAAAATGGGGGGACTTTTGTATTGTAAGTTAAAAGTAATTTAATTGACTTCGAAGAGGAATGCAAATCCGCCGACGCAAAGATAATCTTACTGGTTATCCTAACAACTGCCACAGACTTAGATCAGTGCAGCGCCAAGCAGACTTAGATCAATTCAGTGGAAAACTCAAACCTAAGGCCGCCAAGCAGAGATGCCAGATTACGGAAATGTCTCTTCTTGAAATCAGTGAAATCTATATTTTGGACTGTGGATGGGTGATAGAACAATAGCATAATGAAAAATATCAGAAAAGTATTTTCTTCTAATTCCCTGCTTGTCTGACGTTATGAAATAATCTTGAAACAGTACGTAAAAATATCCATCAGATCTTGTGTGGATAGATTTTTTTTCGGATACACCTCACAGCACTAGTTCGAATCCTTAGTGATAAAATCAAGACTACTTTTTATTGTACCATCTATAATTCTAAAATAAATGAATAATTCTTATTATCTTTCTGCTTTCTGTTTATTTCAGGATTCAGAAATTTCCTTGGATTTCTAAATTTCTACGAGAATGGAAAAGATTCACTAGCCTACAAAAGCATCTCTTAAATATAGGCAATTTCTGTCATACCCTAGATCAAAGGAAAATGGCGGTAATTACAGAAGACTGATAGCTCTTCCACCAGGCAGAATAAAAGATATGAGACAAGGAGGCACGCCGAAAACACAGATTCGCTAGGATGTCATGCTGTCACCTTTTGCATTTGTGTACATATATTATTGTGATTTTGTAACGGGTGCCCTCTGTCAGCGGACACCATCAGTCACCTTTGAGCCCATATTATAACGTAAAGCGCATTAAATCAATTTCTGTATAAATGAGCTGCTTCAGTCTTGATAATGTACGAAAACTTTCTTTTTTATTAAATTTGAAATTATAAAGATATGTAACTGTAATGGGCCAACTACCTGTTATAGGCTTAATTTGAAATGAATGTGAACTGTTAAAATGGGTTATAGATAAATACTCAATTATATACGCGTAAGCTTACACACACGCCGCGCGTGCGCGCATAGCCATACCATACACATATACCAATACACATATACCAACAAGTAAATGAATACACATAGAGCTTCAAAGATTAATACCACCATAGTCTGGAATTGTTACTGAATGGTCTTCAAACCTTATTTCTCTCGTTGCTCCTTGATATCTTACTATCACTATTATCTCTACTAATAATGCTTATATCATAATGCCAAGTGATATGTTTGAATAACGGAAAACCGTTAAACTTTGTTTCAATATCCGGCACTGGCCTCTGCAACTTCTCTACAAAGCAGAAAAAAAGTTATTTTTATCTATTTATTTCATCATTTTTATTATTATCGTTATTTTTTCATAATCTATTTATTATAATTTTCTTAATTTCTCACCTCTTCGGGTATTTTTCTTCATTATTTTCATCTTCACCTTTTTCCTCCATTCTATCTCTTCTTTATCTCTCATTTTTTTTGCAATTCACCTTTTTTACCATCACCCTTTTTATCTCTGTCATCCCATTCACACTGATAACCAAAATAAAACCTCTAACCTTTTATACTCTTTCCTTATTCCTACCATTACCACCACCTTTCCTCCCTCCCCTAATTCCATCTCTCTTTCCTTCTCCCTTTCTCTCCCCCACCCAACCCACCCCCCCACCCACCCAAAACTAAAGCCCTACCCCACCCCCCACCCCCATCCCCCAACCCACCCCCAAAAAATCAATAATAAATAAATAAATAAACCCTTACCTTGATAATGTCATCGTACAGGTTCTGTGTTATCATCCGCTCCACGATTCTGGAAGTATTTGGCAACCCAGGAATATCACGGATCTCAGGCACATCTCTGGGGTTTCTCGGTTTCCATGGGGGGGCGTGCTTCCGGGCATTGCTGGGTGAAGGGATGTGCAGGGTAGATGCAATAGATAGATAGATAGATGACAGATAGATAGATAGATAGATAGATAGATATAGATAGTAGATAGATATAAATAGATAGATAAAGATGATATATAAGATAGACAGATAGATAGAGATAGATTGAAAGGGAGAGAGAGAGGTGGATTGTTAGATAGAGAGAGGTGGATGGATAGACAGACAGATGGATGGATGAATAGACAGACAGATGGATTGATAGTTAGAGAGGTAGGGGAAGGGGGGGGAAAAAGAGAGAGAGAGAGAAGGGATGTAGAGGGAGAGGGGAAACAGACAGAGAAAGAGAATTATTCTTCATATGTGATACATACCCTATACCAGACAAATATATGCATATCAAGGAAGAGAAGATTCGCAAAAAGAGGAGAAATAAGGAAGAGAGACAAAATGGTGAAAAAAAAAAAAATAGAAATAAGTGTAAAGAACAAAACAAGAGAGTAACAAAGAGACGGAACACAGCGAGAAAAAAAATAATAAAACCTTAAAGTCGATTTATGAACAACATTTTCTAGAAGTAATCGATGAAACACGAGACACAAAAAATGGAGGAAGAGGAGGAGAGAGGTGGATAAGAAAAGGAAGAAAAAGTAGAAGGAAAAGAGAAGGAGAATTAACAGAGTGAGGAGAATGCGAATCAACGATTACAAAAATAAACAAACAAACAAAAAAGAAGAAGAGAAAAAAAGAACGAAAATCTATCAAAAAAAAAAAAATAAAAACAAAAAAATTTCCCCAATTAACCAACCATCTTCTCCGGCGTGAACGTCTTGTCCTTCTTTTCATCTCTCTCCTTCTCCATCTCCTCTTCCTTCAATTTCTGCGTCTTCATCTCGAAATCAATATTGTAGGCGTCGTAAATAACTGAGAAGCCGACATTGTCCGCAAAGATTCTCGTATTCGCGGGTTCAGTCTGTATCGCTATTTGCTGGAAGGAAAGGTGAGAGAGAAAATGGTGTGTGTGGGGGAGGGAGGGTAAACTTTAAGAAGAAGAAAAATTGGGAAAAATGCGATTATATATTTATATATTATATATATAATATATATATATATAATATAATATATATATATATATATATATATTATATTAAATTTTTTTTTTTTTTTTTTTTTTTTCTTTTTTTTTTTTTTTTTTTTTTTTTTTTTTTTACTTTTCTTTCTTTTTCACTATTTTCTTCCTATTCCTTTTTTTTTCTTATCTCCATCCATACGATTTTTCTCTTCTGTCTGCATCTATTCCCCAATCTCCTCTTCTCAAGGTATCTTTATATGCATATGCTATACATTTTCACACACTCTGCCTCTCCTACTTCCGTTCTCCCCTCACCCTATTTCTTGTTCCCTTCCTTACTACCCTCTCACACATTTATTATTTCCTTCTTTTACATGCATGTTCACTCACAATTTTCTCCACCTTCTTTTACCCCTCATCGTGCGTTTTTTCCTTCCCCTCAGTTTCCTTCAACTTTGCGCCACTCTTTCATACTTCTTCTCCTTCCCCTTACCTTCGTTAACCTCACGCTCTCATTTCCCCTTTCTTTACCTCTTTCCCTTACCTTCCTTCAGCCTCAGGCTCTCGTACTCCTCTTCCTTCCCTCCTAGTCGTTATTCAATCTCATGCCCTCATTTTTTCCCTTCTTCCCGTCATCTTCACTCAACATCACGCTCTTATTTTCCCCTTCCTTTCTTTTCATTCCTCACATCATTCAACCTCACTCCCTCATTCTCCTCTTCCTTCCCCTCACCTTTCAGCCTCACTCCCTCATTCTCCTCTTCCTTACCCTTTCCCCTCACCTTTCAACCTCACTTCTCATTCTCCTCTTCCTTCCCCTCACCTTTCAACCTCACTCCCTCATTTCCTCTTCCTTCCCCACACCTTTCAACCTACTCCCATTCTCCTATTCCTACCCTACTTCCCCACACCTTCAACCTCACTCCCTCATTCTATTCTTCCTTCTCCTTACTTCCCCACTCTTTCAAACTAACTCCCTCATTCTCCTCTTCCTCTCCTTACTCCCCACACCTTTCAACCTCATCCCTCATTCTATTCCTTCTCCTTACTTCCCCTCACCTTTCAACCACACTCCCTCATTCTCCTTACTTCCCCTCACCTTTCAGCCTCACTCCCTCATTCTCCTCTTCCTTCCCACCTTTCAACCTCACTCCCTCATTATCCTATCCCATTCTCTTCCTTCCCCACACCTTTCAACCTCACTCCCTCATCCTCCTTCCTTCCCCACACCTTTCAACCTCACTCCCTCATTGTCCTATCCCATTCTCTTCTTCCTTCCCCTCACCTTTCAACCTCACTCCCTCATTCTCCTCTTCCTTCCCCACATCTTTCAACCTCACTCCCTCATTTTCCTACCCCATTCTCCTCTTCCTTCCCCTTCCCCTTTCAACCTCACTCCCTCATTTTCCTACCCCATTCTCCTCTTCCTTCCCCTTACTTCCCCACACCTTTCAACCTCACTCCCTCATTTTCCTACCCCATTCTCTTCTTCCTTCCCCTTAATCCCCCTTACCTTCAGGGCGAAATGCGCCGTCTGTGACACGCGCTCGCTGAAGTTGAAAGGGTTAGCCTGAGCGTCAATTCTGGCCAGCTCCTCCTTCGAGATGACGCCGCAGTATGGGTCTTCCTCCTCCTCGCCCTGGTTCTCGGCTGCCATGGCTGGGGTGAGGGGAGGGGGGAGAGGGAGAGGAGGGGGAGGAGGGGGAAGGGAAAGCGTAGGATGTCGTTAGGGGATGTTGGATATGCGTCTTTTATAATGCGGTTCGTGTAGATTATATTTCATGCGTTCAGATGTTCATTATGTTTAAGTATTATTTTGGGTCATTTTGGTTTATGCTTCAGTTGTGCTTTTTAAAAATCTAATTCATTATTCTTATCAGTTTCTTTGTAACAAAGATAAAACATAAATTAAGGAATATATAAGATAAACAGAGAGAGAAAAGAGAAAGAGATGCAGAGGCGTTCGAGGCTGACGCCATCGCCTGACCCAAGAGCGCTGCCTTCGTGTAGGGATCGAGCTCCTCCTCGGGCTCCTCCTCCTCGGGGGGCTCATTCCACAGGAGGTCCCTGGGGTCGAGGGTCAGCAGGTCCATGGTCAGGTCCTGCTCCTCGGGCAGGAAGGTCTGCTTCGTGACGTCGAAGCGGACGGCGTTCTTGCGGAACTCGCTGTCGGCGGTCAGGCGGATCTCGACGATGCGGTCGCGGACCGGTCGCTTCTGCGGGGCGGCTCTTTTCAGTTCTCTGTACACATGCGCACACATCCACACATACACATACATATACACACACATGTACCCACACACATACACATACACATATATATGTGGTATGTGTGTGTGTGTGTGTGTGTGTGTGTGTGTGTGTGTGTGTGTGTGTGTATGTGTGTGTGTGTGTGCTGTGTGTGTGTGTGTGCGTGTGTGTATGTGTGTGTGTGTGTGTGTGTTGTGTGTGTGTGTGTGTGTGTGCGTGTGTGTATGTGTGTGTGTGTGTGTGTGTGTGTGTGTGTGTGTGTGTGTGTGTGTGTGTGTATGTGTGTGTGTGTGTATGTATGTGTGTGTGTGTGTGTGTGTGTGTGTGTGTGGTGTGTGTGTGTGTGTGTGTGTGTGTGGTGTGTGTGTGGTGTGTGTGTGTGTGTGTGTGTGGTGGTGTGTGTGTGTGTGTGTGTGTGTGTGTGTGTGTGTATATGTGTGTGTGTGTGTGTGTGTGTTGTGTGTGTATGTATGTGTGTGTGCTGTGTGTGTGCGTGAATGTATGTGTGTGTGTGTGCGTGAATGCATGTGTGTGCGTGAGCGTATGTGTGCCTGCGTATGTGTGTGTATGTGTCTGCGTATGTATATATATACAATCTCTAATTCATATACGCCCATATCCAGAACAGAAACCAGCGAGCTCCCCGCTCCCCTTCGCTGCCTCGCGGACCAAACCTTGATCTCGAACAAGGGCTTCGCGCTCTTGGCCTGCGCCGGCTCCTTCTTGCCGTACTTCCGCCAGTGCACCTTCTTCTTCTCCGGCTTCGGCTTCTTCTTGGTGGCTCGCGCCCTTGGCCCAGGACGGCGTTCATCCTGGCCGGGGAGGGAGGGCGGGCGAGAGCGGCCATGTTAGTATTGTTTATCATTGTTATTGTTGTTGCTTTTATTGTTATTGTTGTTGTTATCATTATTTCATTATAAATTGTTATTATCATCACTGCTGTTGTTGTTATTTTATCATTATCAATATTGTCATTATTATCATTGCTATTGTTGTTATCATTAGCATAAATTTTCATCATCATTTTATCCATCAATCATGACACATTAACATCATCATACCATCATTACCCTTACAATCAAATGAAGACCCTCCCCCCCTTCCCCCCCCCTTTCCCGTCCCCTCCCCCCTTCCCCCCACCCTTTCCCCCCCCCTCCCTCCCCTTCCCCCCGCCCTTCAAACTCACTTGCAGATGAGCTTGAGCCGCTTCATCTTGTTCCCGGAGGTGGGCCAGAGACTCCCGCCCTTCAT